CTGCCCAGGGCCTGCGCCCCGCTCAGGGGTGGAAATGCCTTTTGTTGAAGGTTTTTTCTTGGGTTTTTCGTGAAAAAAAATTGTTTTTTTTTCTTGAAACTTAAAACCACTAGAGCCCGTTTTAGAGAGAAACCTAAAAAAAACTAGATTTTGTGATTTTCATTGGATTAAAGTGTTTATCAAAGTTACAGGAAATGGATTCAACATCACCTATTTAGGTTAGATTTAGTTTTGGAGGTTTTTTAGGCCTATTAGAGGGTGTTTTTGAAGATTTTAGCACTAGAAAACGTCTCAGAGGTGGAAGTTTGGAGATCAAGCAATCAAAGTAAGTGCAAATTTTTATTTTTTAGATTGCATATATTATTTTGAGATGTCTTCATCTAGTCGAAGCGGTGATCCGGGTTGGAAATATGGATATAACCGGAATACTTTGGATAAAAATTGCACAAGATGCAATTATTGTAAAAAGGATACAAAAGGTGGCATAAACCAATTTAAGAAACATCTTACCGAGATTAGGGGAGATGTTGCCCCTTGTAAAAATGTTTCTGAACGTATCAGGAGGAGATTAACCAATAAATGAGTTCAATAAAATACAAACAGAAACAAAATCCTTGCCATTTGGATAAGTTTATTTCTAGTTCTGCTAGAAGAGGTGATTTGGGTTGGAAGTATGGTTATAACCCAAAACCAAACAATAAAAATTGTATAAGGTGTAATTTTTGTGAAAAAGATACCAATGAAGGTATTAACCGATTCAAGAAACACTTTGCCGGTATTAAATGGAATGTTGCTTCTTGAAAAAAGGTTCCTGAAGTTATTTGGGATAAGATTAGACAACATTTGAATTTAGTAGAACCAGAAAAAGAAAAAAATGAGCATTGTTTTGTGAAAATATCTTCTCCAGGTTCTTCTTGAAGTGGTGATCCAGGTTGGAAGTATGGTCATAGCCCGAATCCGAATGTCAAAAATTGTATTAGGTGTAATTATTGTGGAAATGATACTAATGGGGGTATTTACCGGTTCAAGAAACACCTTACCGGTATTAAAGGGATGTTGCCATGTGAAAAAATGTTCTTGAAGCTACCAGGGAAGAGATTATACAATACTTGAGTTCAAGGAGGCACACAAAAAAAGAAAAGGGTGAAGAGGCACCAGCCAAGACTCCTAGGACCTCATCTGCACAGAGTAAGAGGGAAGTAGAAGATGAGGAGGAAGATGAAGATTTAGAAGAAATAGAAGAGGACGAGCGTTATGTTGAAGAGGGAGATGACTCTGATGATAATGGCCTCGAATATGATGCAATATGATGAGGCTTACCCTACTCCTCCTGATGATGATGATGGTGACTGAAAAATGAAGGCGCTTGACTCTTGGTGTTGACTATTGAGTTCTAGACAATATATTTTATATATATATATTTTTCTTATTTTTTAGTTTCTAGTTTCTACTACCTAACCCTTGTGTGTATGCTTTTATGGTTTTCCCATTATATGAAAATATGGATTATGGACTATCTAAATTCTCTTTATTTATGGAAATATGGATTATTTGTTATATAGTTATACTGTTAAACTTAGACACTTAGACTAACATTTTTCTTTCTACTGGGCTGCCCAGGTTCTGGGCGCCTTGGCGTCGAGGAGCTGGGCAGGCTGGACTCCTTGGCCGCCTAGCGCTTTTTGAAATGCTGGAAAATATTATGCTTGAACATTAGATTTTACTGGATTCCATCTACTACAATATAATGTTTTATATTGCTTCTGCCCAAAAAAGATAAATATTCCTCTTTCAACAAGATGTCATCCCTATGTTGATGTCAAATCTATAAACTGTGAGAAATGTTGGGACTTATTGTAATTCTAGGACATTTTGAATATAGCCCAGATTTCTGTTATGTGTTAGATTGCTTTTTCTTTTTTGACTTGGTTAGCCTGGGATTTTCCATTCCTGCCCCATTCTATAAGATAAAACATAAAAATTAGATTGAAGTTCTGGACCAAAAGGTCATGCTAGTGGCAAGTAGAAGTACATCAAACCAAGAAAAGAAAAAGACCAATCCCTATACATTTCCTAGGCCAAAGAAGAAAGAAGGCATTAGTAACGATAGTGCCTGAATCATACAAAATCACCCAACTACATTGTCCTGAGTTCACGTCCTAGAGGAGAAGTCCATGAATGATTTGTGGTTCTAAGTTCTGAATATTTAAGCACTTGGCCTTCTGGATACCCAAATGGTCGGCTTTGATCTCTGCTTTGTTTTGTTTCCTTGAACTGGACCAGCAAAAGCCATTATGAAATGCTGGATTCTGGATATTTAAGCACTTGGCCTTCTGGATACCCAAATGGTCGGCTTTGATCTCTGCTTTGTTTTGTGGCCTTGAACTGGACCAGCAAAAGCCGTTATGAAATGCTGGATTCTGGATATTTAAGCACTTGGCCTTCTGGTTACCCAAATGGTTGGATTTGATCTCTGCATCATTGTTGGTGCCTTGGACTAGACCAATGAAGCCTTAATGTGAAGCCCTATATACATGATCCCACACAACAATAAAACCTGCATTTTCATGATAAAAATGAGCCATCCCGTGTTTAATTTGGCCCATTGTTGCTTTCGTGGTAGCCATGTCTCTTTCGTGATTTGGAGGAGTTTTGGTTTCAATATCCCAACGTACTAGAGAATTATTGAATCAGCTGGGGATGTTGGGGCATTTAAAGGCCTTGAAAGCATGTAAAAGCTCGTGGAGACCACTCGAAGAATCCCAAATCAAACTTAATTTCGACGGGTGCTCTCTCGGAAACCTTGGGATTGTAGGCATCGGTGGCTTGTTTCGCGATCATGACAATCAAATACTTTGTTCCTTCTTCATCCTGATTGGCTTCTCAAATTCCATTGTTGCGGAAGCCTCAGCTCTCTGGGAAGGACTCAGAAGATTCGATCCCTCTTGGGGACTATTTTTAAACATTGAGGGTGATTCTTTAGTGTGATCTCCTGGGCCTCAAGGGGAGCCCATGGCCTTGGAGACTTGACAACATTTTTGAGGAAATTTGCCATCTCAGTGGGAATCTAGCAACCTCTTGGACTCACATATGGAGAGAGACAAATGCTGAAGCTGATGCCTTAGCAAAGGCCGCCGCAACTTTACATCATGTCAACCTGTTTCACTCTTAGGGAACCATTTTTTACCTGGTGCCCCTACCTTTGGGAGTTTGCAAATTGGCGATGTAAAATATGTTTTGGCCTTTCTAGGCTCCTTGTATAGGGCACCCGTCTGTGGGTAGCCTATTTTTTGGGCGGAACTCACATGTGGGCATTAAGTACCCCCCCGTCCCCACTCTCTCCCTCCTGTATTCGCTTTTAGTTTTAAATAGAGTTATTATATTAAAAAAACAAAAAACCACATGTGAATGTAATGAATATGTACTCCAATAGGAGTGTGATCTATTTGGGTCCAATATGTTTTTCTTTGACTTGTTGGTTGACTAACTTGGATTGAGCAGTCTAGGCCTAATATTGTGTCCAAAACCTTTAGCCCTAGGCATATGCTATAGCTGGAAAGGATTTGTAGGATCATCCCTCATTAAGGTCGGAGAGATGCCCAAGGTATTTTTGGCCAAGAGGTCACCGGTTATCTGCGCGAGGTTAGAGGCTTGCGAGTGCACGGGCCAAATCCTCAACAACCACTGCATCATATGTACACATGATAGCTGCATTATGGGAAGGGACCCAAGGCTAGCGTATGCATTCTGTTGAAGAGCAGACCCCCTGTACTATTGCAATACTGTGTGTTTCATCTTTATTGGATATCGTTGGAGTTTGTGGCCTTTAAACACCGTAAAAGAATGTAAAAATAATGATTTGGTGAATTGTGCACTTCAACGGGTGTGTATGATTAATTGACTGACTTAGGTTGGGCAATCTATGGCCCCAGTCATGTATCAAGTCATTGGTGAGTGGCCCCACTCGTCAACCCCATCTTTATTGTCCCCATCATCACCTCCTTTATCGTTGATGTGTACCAGATCTTTATGAACGTTGTCTGATGTAGTGTTCTGAGCATGTCCCATGGCAATATTCATTTGGAGAAGCACTATATGGATGAGAAACTGCTTGAATTATGTATTATGCATGTTCTTGATCTATTTTGAACTATTTCCTTAATGTTGCAAAGCTTATAGTCTTTGGTGTACTTTAGGTCACTCGCTGCTTGCGAAATGCTTCACAATGCCGGCTACACAAACCTACTTTGGATTCAGGGGGGTCTCGAAGCTGCTGAAGAAGAGGTGAATTTTTACTGAAAATATGTTGAGTTGCAGAGTTCAGTTTTCTGATTTCCTTTGTGACTGTTGTTTTGTGCAATGTTAGCCCAAGTGCTTGGCTGATTGGGGCTCCGAAATGTTTTTGATTTGGACCAGGATCTTGAGAGAGAAGGTCCTCAGCCATTCAGATTTGCAGGACTTGGGGGAGTTTCTGAATTTCTTGGGTAAGCTCATCTCTTCAGCAACGGTCTTTAACAGTTGTTGGGTGCTAGTAAGCATTGAAATTTGAAAGTCATGATGTGATCCATGAATTGAATTTGATCATTTAATGGTTTTTTTTTTTTGTGTGCATATTTTTTCCTTGGAATTGCGTTAAAATGTAGTGATGGTATTTGTTGGAGTTCTGTCCTACATGGAGATGTCTCCACTTTCGATTAAGTTACTTAGATTGATGAATCTTTGCCAGTTGGACCGATCAACAACGATATGCAGCTGCCAAGGAAGGATGGGGCTACCGATTAGTCTTTTCTGCACGTCTGGTACAACACTTAATGGTCCATGGTTCTTATTTTTCTTTCAAAACGGACTGATTTAAGCACTACAGTGAATAAAAATAGCACCCTTTGAGAAACAACAATTTGTGATTCTTTATTTTTTTCGTACTTCGGTTGCCACAGGTTGGACTCTTTCTCCTAGCAGATGCCTTGTTTATTGGGGCTCAACAACTCGGCCGTATTATTCAAGACTTATGGTCTCAGTGAAAACATGAGTCCGTTTCCTAAGCATGCATCCAGTGTTCAGGGTTTCGACAAAGCGATTCCATTATGAGATTGAAGAGTCAGAGCTCTCCTAGAGGTTTCTTTCTAATGACATTTTAGAAGATCTCCATCTCCTTGTCGGCTCATTCAAGGCGCTAGCTTGGTAAAGTTCACAAGGCAGCATTCCTTGGCATTCAGGTAAAAACCTGTTTTCATGAGCTTATCCTTTGTAGAGTTCAACAAATTTGCGGATTATGTGTTAACGACTGGAATACTTTCTTGTTTTGTTTTTTTGATGTATTGCATGCTGGTATCTCTGATACTTTTCAGCCATTGTCGGCGGACAAAAATATGTTATCATTAATATTAGTTCTTAATTATTATTTGATTTTTGATTTCCAAGACATGCATTCTTGCCTGGTCAGGCAGCTTCTTGCATTTTTATAGGGGAACTCGGTCAAAAGAAAAAAGGAAGAAACTACTAAAACTAACTGGAATTGAATTTAAATGTCAATGAACGAGAAAATGTATTTTCTTGCACAAAATATAACATAGGGATTTTAGAAGAGAAATCCATGCAACAGGTGAAAGAAATTTGGTTGCTCTCAACGTTCATAGAATAATCATCCGAGAAGTATTGAGTGATGGAAACATCATATTTGCTTCCTACACCCTAATTTATCAGCCAAAATGGCGAAGTCCTGGATTCCACATAATGACACTATTTTTGTTTTTGACAAATTACCCAACAAAATTAAAGGGTCACCAACTCCTTCCGAAACGACTAGGAGAGACCGTACGCTTCGATTCTTTGAAAAAATATGAACAAGTATAGAGGTAGAGGTCTTTCTCATGTGATTATGCTGCAAGGGAGTTTTGTCAATGGGTATCCAATTGATCAGTCTTTGAAAACCTAGCAATTTTCAATTCTGATGGGAATCGGTTGATTCCAAACTGGTTCATGTATGGGTCGAGGCCAGTTTCCCCCTAAAAATCTCCATAAATCTCTATTTTAGTTTTTATTTTTAAATTTATTTTTGATATTTTATGGATCACTTATTAGGATTGATTCAGATCAATCCGGATCACCAATAGAATAATCCGATATGGATTGTGGATGACGATCTACACTACCGATTCAAGTTCTATAACACTACCGATTCAAGTTCTATAACACGGGTAGTGATAGATAACTTTACTCAGCGAAAATTCACATGCAAATGCTTAAAAAGTA